AGTCTTTGTAGTTACCATCACTGCCTTAATACTCATCGCAGCACCCACTTGATCTCAAGGCATGTGCTGCAAGGCATGTGCTGCCTCTTCGTCATAATCAGCACTAGGTAATGGATTCATGATGATGTCACTGCACACCACGGGTCATTGGCATCCCATTTCCTACTGGCTAGGTGTTCAGCACTTCATTCAAGCCCAAGGGCTTGGCCAAACCAACTCCCAAATTGCATCCTCATGGGTTTATCTACTAGGGCTACTGACAGAACCAATTCATTAATAGTTAGGATTCAATCAAGGGAAATAACCTCCACATTAATTTGAATAGGGAAAATTTAATAAAAGGATTATTAACCAAGACATTGGAGTATTGAGGAATTGCTAGGAAAAGTAAAGACAACCCTAAAAACACTGGAATAATTCAAAATAAAAATGCTCAACATCACTCATCATCAGGGAAATACAAATCAAAACCACATATGGTTTCACTCTTATGTGGATCCTGAGATGGAACTGGAGAGTGTGATGCTAAGTGAAACAAATCAAAACCACAATTAGATACCACCTCACAGCTGTCAGAACGGCTAACATTAACAACACAGGTAATGAGAGATGCTGGTGAGGATGCAGAGAAAGAGGAACCTTTTTTTTTTTTTTAATGTTTATTTGTTTTTGAGAGAGAGCGAGCTGGGGAGGGGCACAGAGAAAGGGAGACACAATCCGAAGCAGGCTCCAGGCTCTGAGCCGTCAGCACAGAGCCTGAGGCAGGGCCCGAACTCATGAACTGCGAGATCATGACCTGAGCCAAAGTTGAATGCTTAACCGACTAAGCTGCCCAGGCGCCCCAAAGAGGAACCCTTTTGCATTGCTTGTGAGAATTCAAACTGGTGCAGTCACTCTGGAAAACAGTATGGAACTTCCTCAAATAATTAAAAATAGAACTACCCTACATCCCAGTAATTGCACTACTAGGTATTTACCCAAAGGATACAGGAATGCTGTTTCAAAGGGGCACATGCACCCCAATGTTTATGGTAGCACTATCAACAATAGCCAAAGTATGGAAAGAGCCCAAATGTTCATTGACAGATGAATGGATAAAGAAGATGTAGTGTATATACACAATGGAGTATTACTCGGCAATCAAAAAGAATGAAATTTTGCCATTTGCAAAAATGTGGATGTAACTAGAGTGTATTATGCAAAACGAAATTAGTCAGAGAAAGACAAATATATGACTTATGTGGAATTTAAGATACAAAACAAATGAACAGAAGGGAAAGGAAGCAAAAATATATATAAAAAACAGGGAGGGGAACAAAATATAAGAGACTCTTAAATACAGACAACAAACTGAGGGTTGCTGGAGGGATTGTGGGTGGAGGGATGGGCTAAATGGCCAAGGGGCATTAAGGAAGACACTTGTTTGGATGAGCACTGGGTGTTGTATGCAGGGGATGAATCATTGGATTCTACTCCTAAAATCATTATTGCACCATATGCTAACTAACTTGGATGCAAATTTAAAAAATGCAACACAGAATGGTAGAAACAAGTTTGTGAATATCTAACCTGAAGGACTATACACAAAAGAAATCATAGAAATCAATTAGAAAAAAAGACAAAAAATAAAATAGGCAACATATTTGAACAAAATACTCATTAAAGAACATATATCAATGGTCATTAACCCTAGAAAAGTTATGCAACTCTAGTCATCATGAAATTATAATTTAAAACTACAATGAGAAAGACTACAGTCCACCAAGACAAAACTGATTAAAAAGAATCATGATGCCAAGATTGGGTTCAGCTTAACTCTTTTTTTTTTTTTTTTTTAAATCAGATCCTTCCTTTGCATATGCACTCTGAGAATGCTATAACAACTGTCACATAACAAAACAGAATTTAATAAGTTACACTCCCTTTGAGATAGATGTCAGAGTAGTAAAGGATTTGACTATATCTTAAGAAATGAAGAAATACTGGGGCGCTTGTGCAGTCGGTGTTAAGTCCGATCTCCAGTTGTGTCTGGGTCATCTTCAAGGTCCGGTGAGTTCGAGTTCTTCGCCAGGTTTCATTACGGTTTAGAGTCGAGCCTGTTTCCCGATTCTGTGTCTCCTCTCTCTCTCTGCCCCTCCCCCGTTCATGCTCTGTCTCTCTCTGTCCCAAAAATAAATAAACGTTGAAAAAAAAATGAAGAAATACTAAATGGATAAACACTGTTGCTTTGTGATTTGGACACAATCACTGAAAATGCAGGTAGGAAAGATGTTCTCTGTGGGAACCAGTTGCGGAAATAACTCCTTGTCCCCTGCTTCCAGGGCGGCCTAAACATCACTGTTTCTTTCTAAGTCATGGCCCTGACTATAGATACATAGTTACAAAATCGACTAATCCTTCTGACTACATGCGTTTGAATAGCAAGAAAATGTTTATTACATTGTTGCTAAGAGTGGATGCATTTTGGGTCTGAAAGAGACTGTGTATATTTAAATCTGTAGCATTTGAGAATAATTGAAAGGTTGAGATCAGGTCAGGATCTCAGGGTTGGTGGGTTGAAGCCTTTTCTCGGGCTCTGCCCTCACAGTGCAGAGCCTCCTTGGGATTCTCTCTTTCCCTCTCTCTGCCCCTCTTCTGCTTTCTCTCAAAAGAAACAAACAACAAAACAAAACAAAAATTTAAAGGAATAAACAGCTTCCGTTCCCTGAAGGCTAAAGTCCTCTTATTTCTGAGACACTCGTGTTACCGGGAAAACTTTACTGGCAGAGGTCAAGAACTAGGCACTCTAGCTGAGGAAACTCCATTACCCAAACGGCAATGCGCATAAGAGTTGCGGAGTTGACCCAATGAAAGCCCAGAACAGATGCATTTCCGTGCGACGCATCAGATTAGGGCGGGACTTCCGGCGTCTGCCTCTTGGCGGTCATTTTGGCTTCCTTCGAGTCTGTTCACGCAGAGGCTCCGGAGAACTGGGTCGGCGCCTCATAAGGCAAGGAAGACGTTCTCCCGGCTGCAGAGACGCGGCTCTGAGCCTTGGAGGCGGCGGCCTCGGGGTGACCCGCAACGGCCTGGGATCGAGATCTCCGCGCCCCACAGCTGCGCTCCGCCTGCAGAGTCCGATGGCGGCGGCCGCGCGTAGGGACCCGGCTGAGGTAAACGCGCGACGCCCGGGCCCTCTCCGCCCTCCCCCACCGAGCGCTGGGCGCCTGGTGGCGTCCCAGCGGCCCAGGTCCCGGTGTCCGGGCCGGGAGGCTCTCGCGGGCGGGGATCCCGTGTCTGAGCGCCGGCGTGACGGGGTGCGGGAGCGGGCTGAAGGGGAGGGGCCGCTCGGTGCAGAGACTTAGAGGTGCGACCGGGCCGGGAGCACTGGGGAAGCCCAGGCTCTGTTTTGTGTCTTCAGGCAACAGAGTGTGAGGCGAAGGCCTTAGGAGTTGTACCTTCTTTCTCGGGACGCTGGGAGCCACGAAGAGTTGGGGACAATAGAGGGACGGTGTCCGAGATCGGGTTCTAACAGGTTTCCTGCAGCTGCTCACAGGAGGGACAGACGGGAAGAGGGGTGATGATAGGAGTAGGAAAGTTGAGTTCTGTAAAGATCGCCTAAGTGGCGACAGTGCGCTGAGAACAGGAGCCCAGAAGTAGCGCGTTCGTCTTGTCTCCGGATCCTGCGCTGGGCTAAGGTACTTAGCCGCCTGAGCCCGTGGATCCTGGCTTAGGGGTGCTGGGTTGTGGAGCTTATTCTAGGGCGTCCCTAGACCCCACCCCCGCACGTGCTTTGGGATAATGGTGTGCTGTGACTCTTCTGCCAGTCCTCCAGTCGCAGGGTCTGGGAACTTGGAGGAGACATCAAGCGCAGGGTCCTAACTCCAGGCCCAGAGTTACAGAGTGGTTCCTATTTTTGGCAACCAGTGCAGTGAGATATGGAAGGGGTCCCAGGCATAGGTACTAGGACGTGCAAAGGCTTGGAGAGTTCGGGAACCTGCGGGTAACCTTTGTTTCTCATGGGAGCTGGGAGGAGTCAGGTCTGGACACCCAGGTGTCCGGTGCTGTGGGAGGGATTGGAGCAGTGAAGGCAGGTGATCTCCCTGCGGCTGCAGCATGGAGAGGAGTGCAGTTGTGATGGTGGTGCTGGGAAGGTAAGGGAGGAGGCTACTGCAGTAGTCTGGGCCGGTGTGATGGTAGCCAGAGCAGGGTGGTGGCTGTGGAGGTGGGAGAAGTGGCTGGATTCTGTGTCAGTGTTTGAGGTGTGGCTGCCTGGGTTTTCTAATTTTGAGGTACGGACAGAGAGGTAGGGCTCAGAGGTGACGAAGTTTTGGCTTTGGCAGCTGGGAGAATGGAAGCTCCATCAGCTGAGATGGAGAAGCTAGTAAGAGTAATTTTCATTGGGGACATCAGAAGATTTCTTTTCGGTCTTTTAAGGGTATGAGATGTTTCAGGACAGGTCAGGATGTAGGCTTCTCCAAAAGGTGGTGGAGAGTGCGGACCAGGGAGGAGCTGTAGGTTACTTAATAGGAGGAATCCTGGGGCACCCGGGTGACTCAGTCGGTTAAGCACCTGATTTAGGCTCAGGTCATGATTCTCAAGAAAGTTCACTTGTTCAGCCTCAGGGTGCCTGGTGCTGATGGCTCAGAGCCTGGAGCCTGCTTCGGATTCTGTGTCTCCCTCTCTGTCTGCCCCCCCCCCCCCCCCCCCCCCAGCGCTCTGTCTCTGTCTCTCTCTCAAAAATAAATTTAAAAATCATTAAAAAAAATATGGGGATTCCTGGTCAGGATGACAGTGGTAATAGTAGCCCAGGAAGAAGAGGGTAGGCCTGAGGACCAGGTTTCCTGCCTGGCTCACTGGTTGTGGGATGTGGGTGCCACAACACAGATCGGGGAGAGAAGCGATCATAGAGAGGGCAGGGGAGACTGCATGGTTTGGGATGTGGCCAGGGACTCCAGGGGAAAAGTGGACATGAGATAGATGTGGAGGCATAGGAGTAATTCAAACAAAGTGACATTGAGATGGGGGCTGGTGCTTATTCACGTCTGCAGACTCACCAGGATTTCGTTGTGTCTGGTGGGGGCTTAGGTGTTCAGGTGAGGCTGGTGTATTTGCTTAGGAGCACAAGTGGTCATTTATGAGACTTACTGGGCAGCTGAGTCTTGAACGCAGGTTAGACGGAGAGAAGAAACATGTGACTGGAGAGGGGACATAAAGCGCATGCAGGACAAGTAGGGGAGAGCCATGGGTATCTGAAATCTGCTTTCATTTTTAGGTAGTGGGGTTGGAGCAAGGAACAGGGAGGGAGGCCTTCGCAGTAGGACTCAAGGCTGTGTCTGTCAGTGGGGACCATCAGAGTCTGGAGTAGTATTTGATCCTGTTTGAAACTGGGCCACATATGCTGAGTGACAAGTAGAGGCCAAGGAGATGACTATAGTGATGGGTAGGAGTTGTGGGAGTGCAGTTGTGAGAGGTGTGCCAAGAGTGACGTGCACATGGAGAGGGAGTGTGGACGCATGACCCCAGGGCCTGGAATTGAGGTCGTAAGGATGAAGGATAATGCCACAATTTTTCTGTCTTGGAGGGATGATCCAGAGGACTTCAGCGGTATTGCCTGATAAGACCAGAGTCACAGCATTCACACCCTCCTTGTATAGCCAACTTCTCTCCCTAACCTGTGTTCATTTGACACCAACTACTTTGACAAGAGGCAAGGTGGCTACCATGCCAGGTCCACAGTTCAGATATCCTCTCTCTGCCCATCTGCCTGTTGTCATGAGAAGACATAGTATCAGTGGGAACGTGAGCAGAGGCCTGATATTTCCTCTGAGGCGTGGAGTAGAGTGAGCCAAGGATGGATGTGGAGGGCGGGGGGCATGATGAACTAGGACTCCTAGGAGAGATGTTGATCATTGAGTGAACTGTCCACATTATGACAGGATGTGAACTTTGAGGATGTGGCCATTGACTTCTCCCAGGAGGAATGGGGGCTCCTTGACGAGACTCAGAGACTCCTGTACTGCGACGTGATGCTGGAGACCTTTGCACTTGTAGCATCTCTGGGTGATTAATAAGCATTTGTGTTCCCTGTACTTGAGGTGATGTCGCACTTCCCCTCTCGCTCAGCCCTCCCAGCCCCCCCCCCCCCCCCCCCCCCCCAGAGTTAGCTCTGTCTTTCCCACAGCTGGATCATGGGATCTGATTTCCACACTTTCTTGTTATGTGTGTGGTGGGTGCCAGCGCTGAGCTGTGTATAGTGACCAGAGCAATGGACTCCCTAATCATCCCTCACACCTGTAGCCTCAGAAAGTGCAGAGGAGGGTCTGGGAGTCTGGAGTCTTGCAGTCAACTTAATGGATTCCACCTTGCTTGTCCTGTCCCTGGCAGGTGACTGTTTCCAGATCCATGGCCTCCAGTTTTGCCCCCTTTCTCTAGCTAACAGTTCTGTGTGACTGCCTGTGCCAGGTCATGGCCGTTACATGAACCATGGGCTATTCTTGGTTACATGAACCATGAGCTGAGACCCTCCTTCAGCTGTATTTTGTAGTATTTTTCTCCTGAATATTACTGCATGACAAGTTGCCTGGGGCCAGTGGTGGCCACTCACCGTGCGTCTTTCATTAAGACTTGCATCATTCAGGTTCTAAGGAGTTACACAGTGGAGAGTGCAGGAAAAACACTGCTTGTTTCACAGGGTGGACATGGCAAGATGGTCTCACAAGAGGCCTGGCCCTGGTGTGTGGCAACCGGGGGTGGGCATGACCTCAGGGCTGTGTTCAGATCATACCAGGAACCTGCCGTGTGTTCAATGGTATTTTGGTACAAGTACCACTAGCCACATATTGTTTCTACCTTTTCTTCTACATACTTAACACTTTGCTGACTTGTCATTTCATCTGAGACTTCTGGCTCCTGGCTCCTTCCACCTTTGTGGCCTCCATGGGCCACCAGTTCCTCTGCACTGCTCCCTCTACAATATTCTCCAACATTGACCTGCACATGGTGTCATGAGGTGTGCACATATCCTTACATAGTCCTTGAAACAGCTACTTAGTTCCAGCTGAATTTGGGGGGGGGGGGGACAGGACACAACCAGCCTTCCCACACAGCATGCCCACGTCTCCAGCAGACAAGGTCCTACTGAAGGAGGAGTGAGGAGGCAGGAGTTTCTCCTCCATGTGGTGCACCCTGTGCTTCTGTGCTTTGTCTGTTGAGGTTTCTTCTGTTCAGGTTTCTTCAGAGGCCCAGTACTGTCAAGCCGCCCCTACCTCAGCCTGCCTCCAGCTCCCTTGTTCTCACAGCAATTTCATGGACCCATCTTGTGTCTGGTACACCTTGGTAATGGAGCTCTCTCCTCTTACCGAGTCAGCATCTCGTCAGCACCTCTGTGCTTTCAGGTTGTCGGCATGGGACGGAAGATGAAGGGGCCCCTTCTGAGCAGACTGTGTCTGTAGGAGAGTCCCAGTTCAGGGCTTCTCAGGCAGGTCCATCCACCCATCCACCTGTGAGATGTGTATCCCAGCCTCGAAGGATATCTTGCACCATGCTGAGCCCCAAGCAAGATGTCCTTGGCAGAAGCCATGCTTGGGTGGCACGTGTGTGAGATGTTTCTCTTTCCATGCAGACCTTCACCAGCAACAGAGGCATGGCAGTGGGGAGAAGCCCTGGAAAAGGGATGTGGACAGAGCCTCATGTTTGAAGAGCTGCAACATCTTTGTGTCAGGACAGCCTTTGACCTGTAGGAAGGTTGGCGAGGACTTCCCAGCCACCTCGGGACTTCTGCAGCACCAGACCACTCCCAACAGTGAGGAGCCACACAGGGGCAACCAGAGTGGGCAGGCCTTTCACAGTGGAAAAAGTCACTACAGCTGTTGTGAATGTGAAAAAGCTGTCCGCCACAACCATGCACTGGGTCAGCATCAGAGTGTCTGCTCTGGAGAAGGGCTGTATGAGTGTGGCAGATGTGGGAAAACCTTCAGCTGCAACTACAGATTGGTGTGGCATCAACAAATTGACAGTGGACAAAGGCCATATGAGTGTGGTGAATGTGGGAAATGCTTTAGCCAGACTTCTGACCTCGTTAAAGACTGGAGAATTCATAGTGGTACAAAGCCCTATGGATGCAGAGAATGTGGACAACTAATTACCCATAACTTCAGTCTCAGAAAACACTGGAGAATTCACACTGGAGAAAGGACTTATGAATGCAGTGAATGTGGAAAAGTCTTTATCCACAAATCCAAACTCATTCATCACCAGAGACTACACACTAGAGGAATACATTATGGGTGTGGTGAATGTGGGAAATCGTTTAGCTACAAATCCAACTTCATCGAGCACCATAGAGTTCACACTAGAGAAAGGCCTTATAAATGCAGTGAATGTGGGAAATCCTTTAGACAAAGCTCTAGCCTTTTCCGACACCAGAGAGTTCACACTGGAGAAAAGCCATATAATTGCAGCAAATGCGGGAAATCCTTTAGACAAATCTTTAACCTCATTCGGCATAGGAGAGTTCACACTAGAGAAATGCCTTATGAGTGTAGTGACTGTGGGAAATCTTTTAGCTGCAAATCTGAACTCGTTCAACATCAGAGAATTCACAGTGGAGAAAGACCTTATGAGTGCAGTGAATGTGGGAAGTCCTTTAGACAGTTTTCTAACCTCATTCGACACCGGAGTGTTCATACTGGAGAAAGGCCTTATGGGTGCAATGTTTGTGGGAAATACTTTAGCCGCAAATTTATCCTTATTCAACATCAGAGAGTTCACACTGGAGAAAGACCTTATGAGTGCAGTGAATGTGGAAAATCCTTTACCCGCAAATCTGACCTCATTCAACATCAGAGGATTCATACTGGCACAAGACCTTACGAGTGCAATGAATGTGAGAAATCTTTTAGGCAACGCTCTGGTCTTATTCAACACCGGAGAGTTCATTCTGGAGAAAAGCCATATGAGTGTGGGGAATGTGGGAAATCCTTTAGCCAAAGTGCAAGCCTTATTCAGCACCAGAGAGTTCACACTGGAGAGAAGCCTTATGTGTGTATCGAATGTGGGAAAACCTTTAGCCAAAGCTCTAGCCTCATTCAACACCAGAGAGGTCACACTGGTGAAAGGCCTTATGAGTGCAATGAATGTAGGAAACCCTTTACCCACAAATCTGACCTCATTCAACATCAGAGAGTTCACACTGGAGAAAGGCCTTATGAATGCAATGAATGTGGGAAATCATTTAGCCGCAAATCTAACCTCCTTAGACACCGGAGAGTGCATACTGGAGAAAACCCTTAATTGTGCTGGTTATGTTTTATTTCTCCATTCAGTGTACAACACTAAAGGAGACTGTGTGTGAGAGACATTTTCCTGAATTTAAACATCTTTTATCTCAACATAAACTTTGTGAGATTCCTCCTAAATCTGAGGTACATGCAAGACTTTAGGAGGATGCATTGTACGGTTTCACCTGTCCAGCGCTACTGCCGTATTTATGTCACCGCCAGCTTCTGTGGCCGAGGGCATTCACCTCTACTACCTGGCCCATCTGCACAATGTAGGTCAGTCATCATCCAGAGTACGCAGAGAAGCTAGCCTCTTCCGTTTTCCCATTTGCCTGAGGAAACTGTGAATAGCCTGAGCGCTTAGGGAGAGCCTCATTCCTTTCTCTCTGACTTTAAGGAGCGGACCTGACCCAGTTTTGGTCCAGAGGACCCATCCTCACCTTGCTAAGAAGGACCTATTTCTTTTCTGGAACGCTGTTCTCACATTATGCTTGTGATGAATTCTTCCCGGTTCTAATTCACCAGCATGGGAACTGCTTGCTACACATTGGGTTGGTTTATGTTCTTTTGGTCAAGGTCTTTGTTTCTGCACCTTTGATTTTGGTGGTTGTATTCACTGTGTGAGGTGATTTGAAAGCAGAATTGTGATCTATCAGCAGGTAGAGACCAGCAAATTTTGTGGGGATCCCATACTTCCTGTGTTTCAGGAAGGACGGTATGATGGTGGAAAATAGCAGTTGTCCAATATTGGTCTAGTTTGCATTGGTGCCCAGTGCTTTGAAAGAAAGACTGCAGGACTTTGTGGTGCTTAGCAACTTGGTGCCAAGATTTGGGGGGAGGTCAGAGGTCACCCAAAAGAGGAGACCTTTGTGGTAACAACCTCCCTGTGCTTCTTTGAACAACGTAAATTATATTCTCTTGTTTGCTGTATATATCACATAATTCCCACCAATATTCAGGGGACTTCTTCCCCAGGTCCTGCAAAGGAGCCATGTGCCACGATGTACAAAATTTCAGTGTCATTTGCTGTAAGACTAGAAATACAGGTGGAACTGTAATTGGAACAAAAACATGGATTCATAGGGCATAAAGGAGACTGCAGTAAATTAGATGGAATGTGCCTTACCTAAAAGTTCATTTCTAAACATTCCAGAACTGTGACTTATATGATTGATGTATACAGAAATTCTCAGGACCTCCATAACTATTTCTTGTAGCCAAGGTCATTGATGAACTAAATATTCTAAAGGTTTTGTGGATTCTCATAGCCTCTCTGGGCTGTTCAACAGGTCATTGCTCTAGAGTCAGAAAAACAAGGATAGAGAGAAGGCTGAGCCTGCTGTCCAAGGATGTGTCTTTCGTGACCCAGCCATCATTCTTGTAGATTCAGGTGGGAGCAGTCTTCATGCTACCAATATTTGCTACCACTGAGGGAAGGCTGCCCCTCCCCGGGCATGAGGGTACAGATGGTGGAGTCCATATAGGGTTGCCAACCTAATTTCCTAAAAAAGGATATCTGGGCTTGTATTTTGGACCACTTCTTAAAGCTCTGTTAAGGTATAATTTGTATAGTTGACACTCAAAAAAATACACTTATCTAATGTTATCAATTTGGTAAACTCTGACATATGTATAAAGTAATGAAACCATATTACTCATGAAAATGCACATATTTGTCATGAGATATTTACTTTGTGCTCATATAGTGTCTCTCCCTGCCTTATCCAGCCTTCCAGGCAACCATCAATTCCCTTTCCTTTACATTAGGTTAGTTTGTATTTTCTATAATTTAAATAGGCATTATTAAGTATATGCATATTTTTTGTACTAGTTTCCTTCATTCTGCATACTTATTGAAATTCAACAATGATGCTTATTTCTTATTGCTGAGTAGCGTTCTGTTCTATGAATAATGACTTTATCCATTTATCTGTTCTGGACAGATAGGTTATTTCTGGGCGTGGGGTGTTTACAAAAAACGCTGCTATGAATATTTACATTCAGTTCTTTATGTGGATATATGTTTTATTTCTCTTGTTATAACTCTTGTTATAGTAACTAAAACTGTTACCGTGTAGGTGAACGCTTCGTGTTTTAAGAAATTGAAACCGTGATCTATAATGGTTACTCTCTTTTGCCTTCCCGCCAGTAGTACATGAGAATTCTAGTTCTCTGGGAACCTTGACACTAGATATGGTCTATCTTTTTAAATTTTAGCCCTTGAGATAAGTGTGTAGCCATAAACCACTTTGGTTTTAATTCCATTTCCCAAAGTATTTCATGATGTTGAACATTTGTCACGCATTCTTTTTATCATCTGTTTATCTTCTTTGGTAAAATGTGTGCTTGTAACCTCTTAATCTATTTTCTTTTCATGTACTTATGTATTTATTACATGGAACAATTGTTTTTGAATACCAGATTTTTCTCCCTCAACTTTTTGTCCTCATAATTGAAAAGCCACATGCACTAGATTTATACGTTTAGTCTGCATTAATACATCTCTGCTTTCTTAACTCAGTGACACATTAAATCAAGCCTAGGTTTTAGTCTTTGGCAATCCCTGGCGTAGACACTCCCGTTATGGTAAATGCAAATCGCCAAAGTGGTGTCACTGAACATGGAGTTGGTAAGATATTCCTAGTAACCTCTCATTATATTCTGTTCCCAAAGTACTGATACAGTACCCACTAATCTCTTCAGGAACATAGGTAATAAAACAATAAGAATGACTAGTAAGTGGCAAGTTTTAAACACATGTTTTGCAAAAAGAGTTTAAGTATGATTAACTTAAACTGCACATATTTTAAATGTACATTTTGATATTTTCATACATACTTACATCCCATTGTAAATGGCTGTTTACAATATGTCCATGGATAAGACTGTTAAGTCCCATTAAACCTGTCACAATCCTCCATCATTATTTATCATTTTCATGGTCGTTCTTCTATTTATCCCCATGCATACTAGTGGGTTATTTTACTTGTAATCCTAACAAGTCAGTGCATAACCTCTTAAGAATTTCCCAAATCTAAGGACTCTCATGACTCTGATAACTTGAATACACAAAACATATTTTTGAATATATATGTTAATGCTGAATTTTATTAATTGAGTTATTGAAGGCAGTTTGAATGCAGTTAGGATATTATGGCTCTTATTACATGTGTTTTTTTAAGTCTGTTCACTTAACCTCTTTTATTTTGTTTGCTGAAAAATTAGTCACGGTGTTAATATTTTTACATAGTTGAATATTACTTCTATAATTAAAAATCATGAGTTGCCCTTGAATAATCCAGATGTGTACAGTACAGACATGAATATAAACTATACTTCTTGATGCTTAACACAATTAGACTTCTCTAACTTCCATCTGTCAAAACATTGTTTCAAAGTTATTTCTTCAGCAGTTTACAAATTCACATGTCTCTGTTTTTAAAAATTTTAAACTTTTCTAATAGGAAGTTGAAATCTGCAAATCAAAAGCCTCAGTCTTCCCTTGTCAGTGTGTACATATATCAGATCATCACTTTAAATATAATTTTATTTGCCAGTTGTACTTCTATACAGGTAAAAAAAAAAAAAAAAAGATTGAAATCATGCAAAAAGCCTTATGAACTAACTAAAAAGCCTCTGAACTAACATTGAGAAATAGAGCAATGGAAGAGGATCTTTTAATTCATCACATGGAACAAAAATACAGAATATGTTTATTAATTTTTTTCTGAAGACAACACACTTTGTGTTTGGAGACATAAAAGATTATTGTGAGTTTCTATATTCCTTTAGAATATAAGGGTCAGATCTTGCTGCCAGGGACCATCAGGAACACACTAATCTTACCAGCTCTTTTAACTATAGTCCAACCCTTTGGTGGCCTTAATTTGAAGTGTAGCCATTGTCTTTTTATAATTTTCATGACCATCAAAGAAAGTGGGCCGTTCATCTTGATGGGTTAAACTATTGCCAGTGTTATAATACAGCCTTTTGGATTTCCTGCTAACTCAGCTTCACCAATGAATACATTCACTGAAGTTATGCCAGTTCCTACTGGAATCCCAGTCACAAAATACAGAATGTCACTACATTAAAAAAGTGCATGTTGTAGGGACACCTGGGTGACTCAGTCGGCTAAGCCTCTGACTTCAGCTCAGGTCATGATCTCCTGGTTCATGAGTTCGAGCCCTGTGCCAGGCTCTGTGCTGACAGCTTGGAGCCTAGAGCCTGGAGCCTGTTTCGGATTCTGTCTCCCTCTCTTTCTGCCCCTCCCCCGCTCGCACTCTGTCTCTGTCTCTCAAAAGTAAATAAACATTAAAAAAAAAAAAAAAAAGATAAGGGGCACTTGAGTGACTCAGTCGGTTAAGCGTCCAACTTTGGCCCAGGTCATGATCTCACAGTCCATGGGGTCAAGCCCCGTGTCAGGCTCTGTGCTGACAGCTCAGAGCCTCGAGCATGCTTTAGATTCTGTGTCTCCCTCTCTCTCTGCGCACTCCTGTTGGTTTCTCTGTCACTCTCCATAAATAATCGCGTTGAGGCAGCCTGGGTAGGCATGAGCGGGATAAGCGTCCGACCAGCCGGAACCACAATCTGCTTGTTCCGGTTGACAGCAGCGTCAGGCTCTGAGCTGATGAAACAGAGCCTGGAGCCTGTTTCCGATTCTGTGTCTCCCTCTCTCTCTGCCCCTCCCCCGTTCATGCTCTGTCTCTCTCTGTCCCAAAAATAAATAAATAAACGTTAAAAAATTTAAAAATCTATCCCAAATACATCGTAGCTTTGGCATAATTTTAAAAAATAGTTTATCTAGTACAGAGCCTATAAGCATACATCTATACAAATTATTACAAAATGTAAATTAATATAACTGCTGGAAGGTCGACTGGGTGAATATGATAAAGTACACCCAGTGGAAGACCAGGTCTCAAAGCTCAAGGAAACATTCCTTGAGAATATATTTTTATGTCTGGAATGAATACTGTGCAGTGACTTACTAAGTGTAGAGTGTTGGGAAGA